CTGGGCCTGGTAGCCATCCAGGGACGCGTCAGGTCGGAAGTTCGGCTGGAGGGTTTGCCATAGCTCGCGGGGAAAGAATTTCAAGACTAAACGATTCAAGGATGCGGGGTCAGTTGTCTGGAGCCGTAGAGAAACCAACGCTCGCAAGGTTAACTTACAATAAGTCCGTCCGGTGATCTTGGGAAGGGTGCGGCGTTTCTTTTGATAACGGCCGGAATAAGTGGGCATGCCATGAAAAGCGTCAAAGTTGGCGCGCGCGGCGCTGCCTTTTTTAGCGTTGGAAGATGACGCATCGAGAACCGAGTAATAGGGGCCCTCGTGAAAGCTTTCGCGCAACTCGCGGTAGTAGTCTACCTGGGTTTGTTCTGCGGGGCTCAACTTCCGAGCAAACGGGACAGTATATTTCTGCGGATAGGGTAAGTTAGGCGCTGTAGATTTCGACATGATGGAAATTGGTGCATTGCAAGAGGAGGATTTCCTGGAGAGCCAGGCCAAGAAGCAAACATACAGGGTACAACGGCGTTGGAGCTGTGTCTGGCTCTCCACCGGGGTCAGCGTCCCATGTAAACTCTGTGCCTGGGGGCTTTTTGCCCTTTGGCGCCCCACGACGTGACATAATTGTGATATAGAGGCGTCAATTAATACGAGTTAACGAATATAGACCATTTTTCATGATATAACTGCGGATAGATGATCATGACTCCGGAAAAATACATTTCTTCACCGCCCACCCGAAACAGCACTAGGGCTGGCATAATCCCTAAATGCTTCCCCGCGTGGGCGCTAAGATAACAGACGCTGATCTTTACTTTGTACTTCGTTCACAATACATTGAACTTGATATTGATTTAATTGAACACGAGACTAGGGAATCACTAAACTGGTTCATGTGTTTTTTTTTTTTTTTTTCAAATTTCTTGCAAGTTCATAGTCCGGCAGTCATTATCTGAGTACCGCCGGATTGCACGGGTCCCCAGGGACCCTCGTTCACACGCTGTTGTAGTGTTCGCATGATATCTTCAAACCCTTCCACCTGGCCATCGGTTTCTTGCAACCGGCTGTGCAGTGCTACAAGAACATCATGCTTCGCAGTGGCAACTTTCCAAACAACACTCTGGGTATCACCTGCACCACCCCCGACGAACTCTGCATAGGAGCGAGGTGGCTTGAAAAGATATGGGAGAAGAGTGGTCAGGGCAGGTGGAGTAAGAACTGCCCATGCTCCGGATTTGGGGAAAAATCCACTAGTAGCTGGGGATAGCTCACCAAGACCCTCTTCGGAGGGCAGCTGGAACCGCGATGAGTTCGTATTGACAGGCGCTGAAGGTGAGGGCTTCCAGTTCGCTGTTGTAATAGCCCTCATGAAAGTGATGGCCGACAAAGCAATATCTTTCATCACTAGGACGTCGGCAGCGCCCACGACATTGTCCCAAAAAGTGGGGTGTTGGTTGACGTAGAGGAAGTAGAGGATGCGCGCTGCAGCTGCTTCGCGGTCCCAGTCAGTTGGGGTTGAGCCGGATGTGTTCAGGTCCATTGAGTCAGAAATTCCAGTTCGCTGGGGTCCGTGGAAAATTTTCGCCAGAACATCCAGAGCTTCGCCATTTGGAGGGTTTGTGGGAATTGCGAGAACCGGGTTGGCGCCATGTCTACCCGCTTCTATGAGAAGCACCCGGGGCAGTGAAGCTAAAATAGCCAGATGACCTGTGGGTACTTCGCCATGTGCCCATTGCGCGGTAGGAATGGCGAGAGATCTGTTGATGCGGGAGATAATCCCATCAAGTAGGGTAGAGGGGTTCTGCAATAAGTGGTTGGGATACATCTCGGCGTACCGAGCCACATATGCCATGATTGGGCCGGATAGGTAGAGAAGATCCACCGAGTCCAGCTTGGACTCGTCGAGATAATAAGTCAGCACTTGGGAATGCAGCTTGTGTGCAACAAGGAAGTCGAGGGCAGGGGATGAGAAAGTCGAAGTAGACTGCACTGAGCTTCGAGCGACGAGGCCTGGCCCATCTATCTCTAGTAGCTCGCGGAAGAAGTTCAGCAGCGTCATATGCATCAAGACATCGCTCACTTCGACCATATGACTGGTTGCAAAATGCAGGAGACTACTGCTCTGGTATTTAGCCTCGATTTCCGGTACTTGGGCTGTTGAGATGATGTCCCAGCGTAGTTTTCCAGCTTTCACCAGGAGAGTCATTAGTCTGCCCTGTGCAAGCGTTCTTTCACGTTTAGAGAGATCACCAGGGGCATCACTCTGGAGACTACATAACCCGAACAATAGACCGTAGACATCCTTATCAGTGAATACTCTCCTCCACAAGAGTCCCTGTCCTGCATGAATTTCATCACCGGTATGCTCATATTCCCCATTTTCCAAATGATTAGCGACGTCAACCTCTAAAAGCTCCCATAATGTGTCGAGTGCAGCCTGTGCGACTTCGGCCGAAGATGTTGAAAGCCACAGCTCCACAAGTGAAGCCACCAAGTTTGAATCACCTGCAACTATGGCAGCTTCACTGCATTTTTGTCCAGCTTTAGCTAGCAGCGAGAGAGCTAGGAGATTGATTGGTGGTGATGGGGCTTTGAAGCCAGCGACAAGATTGATCGGAGGATCGATAGATTGGAGATCGGTGAAGGTGAAGTAGGCGGTAGCTCTAATTCCGAGGGTTGTGATAGGCGTAGGGTCTTCTTGCAAGATGGGAAGGAGAGCAGAAATTTGCGATAGAAGAGTGGCAGGAACCACAGGGTCGGTGGATTCGACTAGTTGCAACTTCAACTTTTCGATGAGAGGAATGTCCAAGGCCGTGGAGGGGTTCTCCTGGACTTGAGCGAGGTGTGATCTCACTGCATCAAATGTCGAAGGAACTGACATTGTGACTTCTTGGAATATGTTCAGTTCTTCCAATAACCAGTCACGGACTTAGACCGAAATGGATACCTCTGTGACAGGCGAAGCTCGCCCTTTGCGCCGCGGGGAAAGCTCACATATGCCTCAGGCATCAGCATCAAACCAACCAAACATGACCGCATCAACCAAGCGTATCTACTACTCCGTCCCTCACCAGAAGTTCCTCTACATCCCAGGATTACAGCCTACAGTCATGGAGCCTCCACGGTGTCTGGTATCTCAGAAATCATCCGATTCGGGTCTCCATATCCAGCTACACCCACTCGTTCTCCTCACTGTCTCCGACCAAATTACCCGACACGCTGCCCGACAGCAGCATGGGCCGATAATTGGCGCTCTCTTAGGCCAGCAGAATGGACGAGAGATTACACTTGAGCATGCATTCGAATGCCCGGTTACTTGCGGGCTGAAGGATGAGATTATTTTGCCGGCGGCATGGTTTGAAGAACGACTCCAGCAGTGTACGTGGAACCCCTCACAAGATCAATTAGATCTGTTCTCAGCGAGTGCAAACTGACCATATTACAGTCAAGGGTGTGCACAAAGAACCCGCTCTCGACCTTGTTGGATGGTGGTCAACCGCGCCATCGACCGGGCCAAGTGACGCCCATCTCCCCCTTCACCGACAGATCCTCCAGGACTACAACGAATCTGCGGTCTTCCTCGCCTTCCATCCCTCACAGCTCCAAGATGCAGGTTCAAATGGCGGCAAGCTTCCTTTAACCGTGTACGAGAGCGTTCATGAAGGCGAGACCGCCCCCGATGCAAGCAAGGACATGCAAGTTGATGGCGAGGAGCCGGTGCCGAATATCAAATTCAGGGAGCTGCCCTACTCAGTGGAAACAGGAGAATCCGAGATGATCGGTATCGATACTATTGTTCAGGCTTCTGGCACCGCTTCTTTGAATGCGACACAGGAACCGACCAAGCGCGCTCAGCAGACAGAACAGACAGAGTCGAATAAGCAGAGCTCGCAGGTTGAACTCTCACAAGAGGAAGAGGAGTGTAAGTTTTCACAGTCTCAAAATAGCTGCTACTTGAATGGTTCATACTGACTGATTTGAAAAGTAATCGCAAGCCTCAGCACTCGCCTCAATGCCGTTCGCACACTCGAATCCCGCATCTCCCTCATCAAATCCTACCTCTCCAGTCTGTCAGAAGCGGATTTCAGCTCAGATCGACCAAAGGACAATACATCTACGACCAAGTTGTCACACCCAATCCTCCGCAACATCAACTCTCTCCTCTCGCACCTGTCCATCCTCTCTCCGTCGGAACAAAGCACCTTCTCCACCGAAGTCCTCTCGCAGAGCAACGATGTGCTATTGATCTCGCTACTTGGCCAACTCGGCGACAACGTCAAGGCCATGCGCGAATTGGGCCGCAAGTCTGCAGTCGTTCAGACTGCGCGTCACGTATCCACTGCCCGCAAGGATCCCGCCATGCTCCAAAGGAGCTTCAACGAGGAGTTCTATGCCCAGGGTGGACGTGGGGGTCCTGGCAATGGGATGTATTCATGATAGTAGTCAGTTCTTGACTGTTTCCACGATCAGCCCATGAAAATACCCCCGCAACTGCCAATATACCGGATCTTGGGCCTAGGCTTTTACCTGCTTTGCTTAGACAGTGTTTCTTTCTGGGTCCGTGTCAAGGCCATTTAGACGAGATAACGAACTTTGATATGATTATTCTTCATTTTTCCCCTATTCAATTGGTGACACCAGAGGTCTAGTTCAGACAAACTATACTATACAAGAAATGTAAACCCACACCGATGTTGAGATAATGTGTACCGATGGAGATATGACAAAGGTAAAAATGAAAAAGGGAATAAGAAAAATAATAATACAAAAATCAAAAACATGCCGCTATGTAAACAGGCGGGTATCCATACCTATCCAAACAACAGGACAGAAAGAGAAAAGTAAAAGCGCAAAAATCTCGAAGTGCTCGTGGGTAGCGTGAGGTAAGAAGAAGAATATTGTTTGCACCTCAATCACGGCTGAAACATGCATATCATAGGTATCAAAGCAAGCTCTGCCAATATGAGATGTGTATACCCGAGTCATAATTGAATCATAGATACGGATCATGAATGATGGTTGGTAGGATATGGAGGAGGAGGATGGTAAGGATCCGGCATGGGCATAGGGACTTGCTCACGGAGAGGGCCGTTGAATGGGTAAGGCTGGACCGGCGATTCCGAGTACAGATTGTCATGACTGCGAAGCGAGGGATCCTCATAGGGCGACGAGGTTCGCCCGTACAAACCAGTTGACGGGTTTTGAACATGGTCATCGAAGTCCGACGCATACGGCGGGGTGCCCGTGAGCGCGATCTCGGGATTTGGTTGTGCGTGGGCGAGAAGCACATCGGCCTCTTCGTAGGGCGTGTCACCATAACGGCCCGTTCGGCCTCCTGACATGGCCGTTCCGGCACCACGGTAAGTCGTTCCATGTTGGGTGAGTTCGCTGCCGTGCTGGGGTGGCTGGAGGCCGAGTGACTCGTCTTGTGGCTGATAGCTGGGGTCCAGCATACGACTTTTGCGGCCGACAAACAGCCAACGGGCACTTCGACCAATGGCCTTTAAGAGGTCCAATGGGTTCATGGCATCGATCAAGGCCCTTATGCCATAGCGTCCACCTTGATATGCAGCCTTACCGTTGCCGTAGAAATCAGTCACTTCGCTTGACTGGTTGGCGAGGGTGTAGGACTTCCATGAGAAGGCCCAGAGATGGAGTATACCAAATATAGCCATCTCGCAGTTGATCATCAGCTCCGGGAGTCCGACTTTGAGATCGTTCATGGCGATTTTGTCAGTCGCTGATATAGCGCCTTCGGAGACTAGAAGGTTGATGAGTATCTAGAACGTGGAAACATGAGTTAGTGAGCCAATTTGGCAGGAGACGATGCTAAGAAGACATACCGACTGCCAGAATGAAAGGAAAATGACGAGCTTGATCGACAGGATCTTCAAAAATGGCTGATGTTGCTTGATATCTTGGCTGGTCTGGTGGTAGAACTGGATCAGGCAGTACATGGCGATAGTGACTGAGACCGATTCAATGACGACGGTCTAACAAGAGATTATTAGCGGATCGACAAAGGATGAAACCCAAGACTTCGTAGCGACTTCAAACATACCCAGATATGCGCAAATGCGGGACTCAGCGACGCCTCGCAGTACACCCCGAAAGCCTGCGCGACAACCGCAACGATGGTCATAAGAACGCGCATCAGACAGTATTGGAAAACCCCGACCCAGACAATCTGTACAATGATCAGTACCCTAAAATTCCTCAACATCTGCTCAAGTTCGTCTTACATTGAACCATGTCAATCCACTGCGCGGTGTCCGCCAGATGCGGTCGCCACCACAGCATTTTTGAAGCCAACTCAACGGCCAGAGCCATTCCTTTGGCTGAATTCCACGGAAGTAATCCTTCTGGCTGTGTAGATCCGGGGCGATATAGTGGCACATGAGGGAAAAGAAGGCGGAGATACAGAACGCTTCGTAGCAGTCACCCATGACCTCAAAGTAGACAGAGTCACGGTAGAAGTAAATGCTGAGCCATGCGACGAGGGAATAGACGGGGACCATAAATAGGATACGAATAATACTGCGAGACGAGGACCATGTTAGCAATGCTCGCGTGACGCGTTAACCTGGGGAAGGGGACTCACTGTCGCTGTTCGATCGGCTTGCTGTAATGTGTTGCATGTAGCATAATCAGGACTAAAGATACAACACAGGCGACAATAGCGCAAGCGCCGCCCACCAGGAGTGCTAGGGAATGAAATGTAATGCCGCCATCCCAGAGTGCGACCTCCTCAACTAGTTCCAATCAGTTCACTGAAAAGTTCAAGGTGTGGGGGGGGGGGGGTGCAACACACTCGCTTCTTCCTCTGTGGTATTACACACTGGCCAGCCCATGGTTGCTGGGGTGAAAATGGCAGAGAGTTGTTGGACCGAACCTTTTTCCCCCTTTATCTCTTATCCAGATCGACAGGGGAAGACGCCACCGAAGATCAAGTGAAATATTGAGGAACAACTTTGCGATGTATTTTGTATGGAGCAAAAGCAAGACAAGGGCGTTGTGGCTGATTTATGCACAGCCTGTCAAGTCTTGAAAATTCCCCGATTTCCTTGGATCGTCGGCAGCTTAAAGGCTTAGTCTTTGGTCTATTTTTATTTTCTTGGCTTTATAGGTTAGGTGGACCCGGCTTTTGATACTTTCATAATTTGATTTAGCATTTTTGCTAAAAGACTATTGTACATGGCCATGGCCCAACTACATTTAACCTTAGAAAGTTCAAGAGCGCCATGAATCCCCACGCCGTCCACCACGTCCCCGTCCACGAGGTCCGGGACCACCTCGAGGTCCAGGTCCGAATCGCTCGGGGCCAATGTCCACGAACTTATCGTCATCTTCAAAAGTGATTCGCCGCATCTCATCACCACCACGACGTGGGAACGTGCCCTTCTTAATCAGCTCATCAAATTGGTCCAGACGTTTGTCGGCAACCGGACGTGGAACGGGAAGGTAGTACAGCTTGGGCTTTGTAGTGGTAGATTCGAACAATTCATCCAGAGGCTTAAACCCCTGCCCCGGTCGTGACGGAGGTGCGGGAGCCGCGGGAGCCGCGGGAGGTGCGTTGGAAAGGCGACGGTCAAGCTGCTCAATATCGCGGCGCGGGCCCAAGGGAGGAGTACGATTGAAACCTGATTCACGTCGTCCAGAGGGAGTGGTGCCCACCTCGGCGAGGGTAGCCGTGGTTCCGTCATCAGACGTCTCATATCTCACTTCCCAACGAGCAGCAGCGCCAGCGCGGTCTCGGGATTTCTCTTCTGTCTCAATCCATTCCTTGATCTTCTCGTCAGGGATGAAATCTGCTCGGAGATTCTTGCGGTTCCGCTCGTTGGGCCACACAGTCCCATGGACAGCAGAACGAACCCGCGAGGCTGCTGCGAGACTGGTGAAACTCACGAAACAGTGAGTCTTGATAGCATCGAGATAGAAGTCAACGATGGCATCGGAATCTGTGGTCCCGGGGGCGGATGCGAGGCTGGCCAGGTGTTTGCGGAGTGCAGTCGGCTGGAGTGGACGCATAAGGCCGTCGATATAGAGGGCAGAAGTTGCAGGGTGCAACGCGGGGGTGGTCTCCGCATCCTGCATTGTGATATCTCTTGGGGGAGAGGCGGGCTGGGTTGATGCACCGGCAGGTGCGAATAGGTTGCGAAACCGAGCGTCTTGCTTGGTGGGGGTTTTGTGTGAGTCTGTTTGTGTCTCAATAGGTTGTTTGTCTGTGTGGCCCTCCGCTGCTTTTTGGTCTTCAGGCTTTGAATCACTAAGCACCTCATCGTGAGAAACTGACACCTCATCGTCTTTCAGCAACACGCGCGGGCTGGTTTCCTTCGCACGAGCCTTCTTATTCGCAATCTCTTCCAGAGTAGGAGCCGGGCTCTGGCTGCGGCGTTTCCGTTTGCGCGTATCCTCCAATGCATCTTCAACTGGGAGAGGTGTCGATAACTCGGTGTCAACCTCCGAGGTTTGGGCAGCAGATCTGATCGATTTTTCTTGAGCCTTTGTGGCCTCCTCGTCCTTCGCACCTTGGGCTGCTTCATCCATTTGTAGCTGGGAAGGTGCAGCTGTAGGGTATTCATTTTCAGGGGTAATATTCTCTGTTTGTGTCTCTGTAGGCTTTGCAGCATCTTCGACTTTTTGCGATTTCACATCGGCTGCTGAAACTGCTTCTCCTTCGGTCGACTCGTCCACCTGCATTTGTCCATCATGAGTTGGGTCCGATACCGACACGGGTGCTGTTGTTTCCTCGGTTTGTGTGATTGATTCTTTCTTTGATTGCTCAGGCTGTTCATTCTCTGATTCTTCGGGCTGCGACTTTGCTTGCGAAACACCATCTGGCGCAGATGGCTGTGATTCGGTGGATTCTTCTGCTGAAGCTGCTGGTTCTGTCGTGTCCTGGTTTGTTTGTGAGTCAAGCTCAACCAATTTGTCAATGAATTGCTGCTTGAGGCGGAGGCCAGTCTGAGGGACGCCGCGCTTCTTGCACTCGGCCTTCAAATCAGCCACTTTCAACGACGAATAGTCAGTCATGATGACAGACTTTCATCAAAGGGGTTAAAAAGTGAAGTTTGAATGAGATGAAATCAATTGCTTATATCAGAAAGAATAAGACAATTGGTTGCAGCGCAGGGATTGAATCTGGGGACGCGATGGAAATGCGCGCCGATGATGTAGGACGCTAGCCGTATCCGGACTGGCGTCACTCTTGTCTGAACAATGCGGATGCACACATGTATGTACGTGTTTCTCTCTTCAATAATTCAAGTTAAAAAAAAGTGACCTATTTGAAAAAAGATCGAGGAGAATTTTAAATGATTAGTCTTATTTAAGTACATGATTTGACCATTCATAGCACCACAAACTACAACGCAGGCCTAACTCATATCGATGGCAGTTCACTAACATTGTATGCAATTGTGACAATATGGGGGAGACTATATATACAAGAAGTGAATATGCGACAATGCCGCTGCTATCACCCGGAGAAAAAACAGACATTGATGCCAGCCGGGAGGAGCTGTCTACAAGTGGAAGGATAGCCTTGCCTCCGGTCTTAACTTGGGACCAGTGCCTCTGCTAGATGGAAAGGTTTTAGATGGTACATGTGGTACAAAATGTACACTACCTACACCGGGCAAGTCGTAACATTGCTTCTACCACTCTTCTCTATATATTCTTAGGGGATTGTCATACTATGTAGTAGGCAGTTGGACTGAGATACTGCAAGTGGAGAGGTAGCCAACATAGATATATTGACAGTGATCTAGTCATTCGACAAGAGTGCTTCTAATCTACAATACCCGCTGGCAGCAAAGCCACATAGTCCAATGGCGCCAGCTCAGTGCCATCAGGCGTCCCGACAATCTTCAATGTGTCGCCCTTGCGAATCTTGACACCCCGGAACTTGATACGAATCGCGGAATGCCCATCCAGATAGATAGAAGGCGTGTGGCTAAAGTTATCCTCACTATTACCAACCCATTGGCCGATTTTTCGATTATTCAGGTAAACTTTCCATTGTGACTGGCCACCGTAGACATCGTAGTAATTCACTGCAAGGTCATAGATCCCAGAGGGGAAGTTTATTTTTGTTGAAGCGGTCCCGGCTGCGGTGTTCGAAGTTGTAACAATTGCAACATAACCAGAGGCTGCTTCGAAGGGGCTAACGCTGTAAGTCTTGTAGCCCTCTAGCTTCATGTCTTCCGCTTCAATGCGCCATGGGTGATGGTCGACACGCTTAGCCTGGTCGGGGATTCCAGAAAGATTGTAATAAAAGTTATTGATCGCATCTCTCCACACAATTGAGTGACCGCTCTGGTAGTCTAGGAAGTGTCGGACATGAATGTATCGCTCAGTATCAATCTTGCCATGAAGTGATTCCCACTGCGTGAGGAAAGACTGGGCAGTTTTGGCCCCGCTGTAGTGTTCGTCGTAGAAGTGCTGAATAACGGTCTTCCCAGAGTGCAGACGATGAGTGTATTTCACATGGTGGAACCATAGCAGAAGATCGTCTGGTGTGGTGTCGATGTTCTCATACATGGCAGCGATTTCATCCGGATACTGACCCGAAAAGCCTGTCCCGTGTGCCACCGTCCGATCCATTCCAATGCTAGTTTTGTTCGCGCGGGTCCATTGGCCCCAGCCGTTGTTGTCTTGGGATGCAGGGTTGGGACCATAGTGAGTGTATAGAATATCTGTCAAGGTCTGGATGCCCAAATTCCCGCTATATTGTTCGTAGGCGGGCCATGATTCCATGGAAATGCGAGTGATGGTGTCGAGTACCTTGCGGTCCAGCCCAAAGGTCAGTCTAATCCAGTCTTGCAGAATGTCCTGGGCATCATCTGCCGGGTTCCAAGCCAAGCGACCATATGCATATAGGTTTGACATAGACAAATGGCTACCAAGCCAGGTGGTGTTCGTGCCCACATTGACAACAGCTGCTGATCCGCCCAGTTTCCGATTGAACCGTTTACCAGCCACAACATCACGAACGAGTGAAGGCTGGTGGTCGATGCGGAGGTCAGAGTCTAAGATTGTCTTCCAAAGGGGGGCAACATAGACCAAATGCGACTGCTGCCCAAGGTATTCTTGCGTAACCTGCAGTTCAATGGCCATGCTGGTTTTGCGCAAATTTGCAAACAATGCCGATGGTGGCTCACGGACCTGGAAATCAATTGGGCCGTACTTAATTTGGATCACCACGTTGTCGTCAAATTCGCCATCTAGATGCTTGAAAAAGTCCACTGCAGCATTTGCACGATCATGCGTCCAGACTGACTCGTCCAGGTGATGGTCGTAGACAAACGCGCGATACATAACAATTCCACTGTAGGGCAGGACTGCTTTGGCAAAAAGATTCGCTGCATCTGCGAGGGTCCTATTATATGTCTGGGGGCCTGGTTCTCCCTCTGAGTCGGCCTTGATAAGGTAACCAGCCATGTCAGGAACTCGATCATAGACCTGAGTCGTAATATTCGACCACCACTCGACGACAGATGCATCGAGAGGATCGAAAGTGCTAAGCCCCCCATAAGTCTTGGGGGATGCGAAATTGAGCGATAGGCCCACTTGTATACCATATGGGCGGAAGACATCGGCGATTCTAGCCACGCCATCGAGGTTTGTGGGAGTCAACAGGGTAGCATTCGCATTGACATTATTGATAACGACAGCATTGATTCTGATTGAGGCCAAGAGGCGGGCGTATTCAGCAACGCGGGTTAGGTCATCGACGATTTGACCGTCCTTGAAGAAGATAGAGGGGCCACCATAGCCGCGCTCGATTCTTCCATCCATGTTATCCCATTGATTCACCCAGCGAATAGGCGCAGAAGGATTGGATGCATAGGCGACATTGGAGAAATTTCCCTGTGCAAGCATCGACAAGTATTCAAAGGTGCCATAGAGCGCACCTCTCTCGTTTTGTCCAAGGATTTGAACGTCTTTCCCCTTGATGTCAAGCCAAAAGCCATCCTCTTCCAGTTCAGGTACACCTTTCACAGCGCCACAGATTTCTCGATATTGATCAATCGTGCCAACAATAACCGAGAATGCCTTGCACTTGTTGTGTGTGACTTTCACACGCTTCCCATAAACACCTTTGAGACCATTCTGCAGCTCCGTCCCCGCAACATACACCGGACTTGTCTCAGTCGCATTGAGGGTGACGATACTCGAAGGGAGGTTGGAATAACATTGACCTGAACAGGGCAATGATGCGTACCGCAGCCAACCATCGAGGCCATTTTCAGCGGCTGCAAAGCCCAAGGAGGCAAAGAAGAGTAGTGTACGCATTGTAGCCAGAGTTTCTGGTCTATGAGCGTATACCTAATCCCTCATCCCAGATCAAGTTCCCCTTTTATATCAAATTCCCCGCGAAAATCACACCACTGGGAGATTCGCCGATGGCACATAGTTGTCGGCGAAACTTCAGGCTAAATGAGTGATACGTCTAAGCTAAGTAATACAGGCTATGTACTTGCAGTGTTTCCCCGCAAAGATTGCGGAGTTGTGTGGGGGTTTGGCACGGACATCAACACTGAATTTCTTCACGCCTAATGTTGATAGTGCTACTGACAAGGGGTCCACGGGATATACCCCGTATTAGCCTGTTGGTCAATGGGTGTGGCTTATGGCTAAGTACCCAAAATGAGATTAAGATCAGCGCCACGAAGCCCTTAAGGGACTAGATAAGGCCCAAGTTGGACAAAAACGGGCAAACTCATCATAATGGAATGCATTTGGGCATTAAAATTTTAGGCTATTTCTATGAAATGGCGGAGTCCGAAGACAAGCGCATATAATAAAGTGACCAAGTATCTTGGCACGCTTGTCTAGAATATGCCTAGTTTGGAAAAGACGCATGTACGCAGTTTATCATTATTCGTGGAAGATTTTTTTGTTCAAGAATGGTTCAAGATTCTATTTATTTTATGGCACGCAACAGGGCGACACGCTTAAGCCTCACGGCTCAGGATGTCGGAGTCACCGGCATCGAGGATGGCCATGGCGGAGCAGCGGAAGAGCTTACCGCAAGCGGTACCGAGCTCAATCTATAGGGCGAGTTAGTCCAATTCGCTCTCCGGGATGCCTTTCGGTGATCCCTTCGCTGAGCAACTTCACTCTCCGAAGTGGTAGTTTTGACCGACTTCTTCTCTGAGTAGTGTAGCTGACACCGAGGTGCGACAGCCGATTTTTCAAGCTGCCGACCCGAAGGAAAGGGGAATGAAACGTACGTTGTTGCCGTTGAAGTGGTGAACGGGGGTCTTGGCGAGCATGGCGTAGTACTCAAGCTCGGACTTGCGCAGGGGAGGGCAGTTTCCGGAGATGAGGACCAGCTTGGCCTTGCCAGAGCGGAGGGTCTTCATGGTGGACTTGGTACCCATGGTAACTGAGAGAATTTGTTAGTGAATTGCTCATTTGTGCGATCGAAAGGAGCTGCTTACCCTTGCCAGACTTCATCACAAGCGCCAGGCGCGAGGAGAGGGTATCACCGGACTTCTTAGTCTTGACCATTTTGAATGTTTTGAGGGGTTGGCTCGTAAGAAGATTTGTTGGATGGTTGGCTAGGGAAGAAGAAAATTCGCACAGATGGGAAAAAAGGTTAATTGTGGAGCGAGCCCTAGCCGCACGTGACAGCACGTGACAGCACGTGACAGATCACCGCTTTATTTTCTGCCACCGGGACCGGAGAACCACTGCGGGGTCTTTTTTTGACTCACTCCATTTTATATTACTACAAGTACACCCTGTTCTCAATTTCCATTTCTTGTTTTTCTTTATTTTGCATCTTGTCTTTTTCACAATGGCCGAAACTAGCAGTACCCCTACTGCGCAATACCGTCAGTCTATCCCCCTTCATTCTTACCAAATGAACCGCTACTAAATCCCGTAGAGAGAGTCGATTCGCAGCCTGAGAACCCCTATGCCCAGTTGATCGAGGAGCAATCCATTGCGGTCATCCCTTCCTTCAAACTTGAATCCGGTGTCACCCTTTACAATGTCCCGGTCGCATACACCACACGCGGAACCCTCGCTCCCAATGGTGATAATGTGCTGGTGATCTGTCACGCTCTTAGTGGCAGTGCCGATGTCGCTGACTGGTGGGGCCCTCTTCTTGGTGGTCCTGGCCAAGCTTTTGATGTCTCCCGGTTCTTCGTGATCTGCCTCAACAGTTTGGGCAGCCCGTACGGAAGTGCAAGTGCTGTGACCTACAAGGATGGTAAGCCTGAAAATGGCTACTATGGACCTGAGTTTCCCTTGACGACTGTCCGTGACGATGTCAACATCCACAAACTCGTCCTGGATGACCTCGGTGTCAAGCAGATTGCTGCAGTGGTCGGTGGATCCATGGGTGGAATGCTTACTTTGGAATACGCATTTTTCGGCAAAGATTATGTGCGAGCTATTGTGCCGATTGCGACTTCAGCGCGCCATTCTGCATGGTGCATCAGTTGGGGCGAGGCACAACGGCAGAGCATCTACAGTGATCCAAAGTATGACGATGGCTACTATGCATTTGACGACCCGCCATCCACCGGCCTCGGTGCAGCTCGCATGTCAGCACTTCTCACTTACCGCAGCCGCAACTCATTCGAGTCTCGGTTCGGTCGCAATGTACCAGATCCAACCAAGCCGCGAAACATTAATGGCACTGAGAAGCTCCCCACTCCTCCGAACGAGCACTGGGCCATCCACAACGACGGACACCGTGGTGGAACCACTTCCCGCTCGGAGAGCAGACAAGGATCACCCGCTCCTGTGAACGAGGCCGAGGTCCAGTTCATGGACCCGCAATTCTCTGGCACCAAAACATTTGCTCCAGATGTTGACGCAAAGCCCAAGCTGACTGCATCCGGCCGTCCTCGTCCACCGACCTACTTCTCTGCACAGTCATATCTTCGTTACCAGGGTGACAAATTCGTCAAGCGATTCGATGCCAACTGCTACATTGCCATGACACGCAAACTCGATACGCACGATGTGTCCCGCCGCCGCGGCAATCCTAGCACCGAGACCGAGGATACTGTCCTCGAGGCCCTCGGGCGGGTAGAGCAGCCAGCTCTAGTCCTAGGCATCGAGTCGGATGGACTTTTCACATTCGCCGAGCAACAAGAGGTTGCAGCCGGCATCCCCAATTCTCGCCTGGAGCGCATCGATAGCCCTGAGGGCCACGACGCATTCTTGCTTCAATTTGAACAAGTCAACCGCCACATCGTCCAGTTCTTCCATGAAGTCCTGCCCGATATCATGGCCAAGTCAAGCGCCGATGGTGCCGCTGCTGTGGCCAGTGTCACTAAGCTGACAAAGAGCAGCACCTTTGGTGAGGCCGAAGTGGAGGATATCACCGCTTGGTAGAGCGTTGAAATCCCCAAAAAAGTATTGTCAGGCGCAGTTTCTGCCGCCAATCCCATGCTCAAGTCTGGGTCCAGAATCCCGTAAAGGGGTCCGCGACCGGATAGATGTCATGGCGCATCAGGGGAAGTAGGTTGCCGTTCTTTTTTCCGTTCCGCCAGTCAGGGAGATGAGCATCCAACTGCCTCTCCCGTCTCTCACTTGGCCTTTGTCCTTGTCCGAGAAGACTGTCAAAGAAGCATCCAACTGCTCTCCATCAGACCCGCCCTCTGGGTCAATTTCTTCCGGGGGGATACTTCCTCCACCGGGGGGTGATGGGTCCGTTTATCGGTATTGATAGCCGTTATCTTTGCGACATGCACCTCGCATTAAATAAAAAATAAATATAAAATCACAAATCTGGATATATACGTTGATACCTTGACATTTGCGAAACAGATAAGGGCAGGACCGGTTTACATTCGAATCGGATAGCTCACGGCAATAAATAGTAAGCAATAGGCATAGGGGGATAATATGCAGGAAGTACGCCTCGGTTCAATTTGAAGTGAAAAAGGGTTCAAGCTAGAAAGATAACTTGGCCCGAGCTGAATGGTCAGAAACATGCGCCAGTGTTCATGCAGGCGCTATATTGTATTTATAAAAACTTATATGTTTACCTAGGTATGCGACTCTTAATATGATTTTCCATATTTACTCTAGTGCTATGGAGTACCCATATTTTCCATTTTCTCCGTTATAGCGTTATAGCGTGCAAAAATAGTCCAGTCTAGATTAGTGTCCTAATTTGAATCACACGCTAACACCGATAGGCGCTTAGACCCTTTCTATTAAAATGCCAGGATTTACACCCTAAAAGGTCATTGGTTATCTTTATACCTAGGTTGTTCTTGATACGGAGTAGGAGTATCTTTTTTTTATGCAGACTAGTAATATTATCTTTCCTTAACCGCTTAGCTTTATTTTGACTTATTTCCTCTTTTTCTCTGTTCTCTTATATGATTCTGGCCTGCATTCCCATCCCGCATACCACACAGTTGTGCCGACAACGCTTGAATTTTCCCTTCCACATAGTTCGGGAGATTGGTTTGATCTGCAGCTGCATCGCCAGTCGTTTGAGCTACAGTGGGGTCACAAATGAGACGCCATTTTCATTGTTTATCCTCTCTGTGTTGATCCTCAGCCATATACATTCGAATCCTTGCCGTCGGAACGTAAACAAAGAGAAAATTACACAGAGATGGAGCACAAGTTATCAGCGAAAGCAACCAAAATACGCCACCGTCTGACCTTCACCAGAAGCAGCTCCGCACGAGGTACAGCCTTAACATTAGTCTCGCCCATTGAGACCAATCCATCAACCAGCCGTCCCCAGTCAGCGCCAAATCCCGAGTCTCCCACACAAAACGAGCCAACATGGGACCTCAAGGATCCCGATTCCAGCCGAGGCTACAATTTCACAGATGAACTGGGCTACTTCCGCCCTGTATCGCCGTTCATTGACCGCCAAGACATCAAAGAAGACCTCGAAGATGATATCAAACATGCATGCGCCATGCTATCTCACAGCATTGATCGTGGCATCCCAGCCGTACTGTCCCACCGGAGCGCCGTGCCAGTCTGGACAAATGCAAAAAAACCCGCTGGTCAGCCTAGTGCCGATGCAGCTCCTCTATCTTTAGAACAACATGTTATCCTTCTATCGGCGCCCAAACCAATCAACCCCGAAACAGAAAGCACCAAACATGATTCCGGCGTCGGTATGAGCTTCAATTCTACCAGCCAACCAGGGAGACCATACGACAACAGCGCATCGGGCACAAATACTTCAGCCCGGTTCTATAACAAACGACCCTCCGCCTCACCACCACACAGCCCATCAGCAGTAACCCCTTCCCGGAGCCAGAGTCTAGCAACAACCTTCGAAGAAGACCAAAGAATGCGAGCATACTCGTCAAGCCCGGTTCCCTTCCCATACAGTCCTCCCCAACCCAACAGCGAATGGAAATTCGAGCCAATGACGCTCGACAGTCCAGTCAGCCCACTCAGTGAAACCAACTCTCAGCTCGAAGCCACCGAATCCGAGCTCAAGACAGAGCCACCAAATGCCGACAGAAATAAAAACAAACCCGAGACATTCTCTCCAGCCCTATCCCCACCTCTCGGCGGGGTAGACAAGACTTGGCTTCGCGCTAGCAGAGAAATGCAACGCCAATTCGAAGAAAAATTGACCCAAACCAAAGAGACAAAACCAGTGATCCGGTTCTACAGTTCCTACAACCAAACAACAGGCGATTTCAATCCCCGTGAATGGCCGAAGAATTTCTGGGATCGGGATCCAAGTGTCTACAGCGAAGTCTCACTAGCTTCACCACGGGCTGGAACCACATCGAGACCAGAAACAGGAAACCCGAGATTGGGTACTGCTTCGACGAATGAAGAGGTGTCTGGCGGATACCCGTATCCAACGTTTGTCGGGTCCAGCGGGATGTCTTACTCGTCTTCTTGTTTGGGCAATGAGATTAAGAACCAGGGACGTGTTTACTCTGTTGATGTACCTGCTTTGTCGCCTAAAAATAACCGGCGGAAGAAGGCTTCGCTTTTGTTAAGGAAGTTGGCTGGGCTGGGGATGAAGCGGAAGGAAAATGAGAATGGAGTCTGTTGATAGTAGGTTGTGGGGGTTTGTGGGCGTTTGGATATGCATCACAGGGATTTGAGCAGTTCATTGATTCCTTCATCCAGGCGTATTCGTATTCGTATCTTTTGATATAGATGGTCTGTTCTTTTCTGTGTATATACCCCTTATTCTTTTCTGTTCTACCATTTTATCAGATCTGTTTGGGTTTAGGGACATTCAATGTATGTTTTTATTATTGAGGTTTATTTCAAAAAGCATCATTTTCATACAACTTCCACCGTGTATAGGTGACCTTTTCCCTGGCCACATTTTCTCTTCAAAAAACTAGATCTACTTCTAGACCACTTTTATGAAGTTGAATAAAATAAAAATTCCCATTTGGAATATGGAAGAAATCTCGTAAAAATGCCAAGCCAACCCCGATCCACAGATAAAAATAACATCACTCGTGAGACATGGTCCTATATAAAGACAAAACCTATCAAATACCACAGCCCTACAGACCAAGCCAGAACCGGGTCTTGCCAACATCAAACTCGCCATGCAGCTCCTCAGCCCCAGTACCCGTAACGAGAACCTTGTACGTGCCCTTCTCAGAGATCCACTGCTCCCGCTCCTCATCCCACCAGCTGGTAGCCAACTTCTTCTCAACAACCAACTGCACAGACTTAGTCTCACCGGGCTGCAGGAAAACCTTCTGGAAAGCCTTAAGCTCGCGCACAGGACGGCCAACATCAGTCTTGGGGGGCACGATCCAGAGCTGCACGATCTCGGCGCCAGCCACAGAGCCCGTATTGGAGACAGTCACCGACGCAGTGACGGGCTCACCGGACTCGGTGTACTTGCCCTGCTCGGGAACGGTCTCGATACTCAGATCTGAGCGCGCGAAAGTAGTGTATGACAGACCATGTCCGAAAGCGAAGCCTGGCGCGACATCGCTCTTCTCGAAGTACCGGTAGCCAACGTAGATATCCTCGCCGTACAGGACGCGGCCACGCTCGGAACGGAAGTTCAGGTAGGAGGGGTTATCTTGCAGGCGGCGGGGGAAGGTGATGGGTAGCTTAGCGGAGGGGTTGACGTCGCCGTAGAGGACGTCTGCGATGCCGTTTCCGCACTCGTTACCGCCGAACCAGGCTTGCACGAGGGCTTTGGCTTTGTCTGCCCACGGCATTGTGACCGGTGTGCCGGATTGGATGACGACAACTGCGTTGGGGTTCACCTCTAGCACGCGGCTGATCAGATCGTCGCTGCCAGGGGGTAGATCCATGTGTTCGCGATCGTGGCCTTCAGTCTCCCACTCCAGGGTGAGACCGGCGAAGATGACGACTTGATCGGCGGTCTTGGCTTGCTCGACTGCGTTGGAGATCAGCTCTTCTTGGCTCACTTGTCGGCTGGCGCCGAAACGGAAGCCGCCTGGGCCGAAGGCGACAATTCCACGTGTGTCGAGGTCGGAGGTTGGGGCGCTGCCGAACTGGAAGACAACCTTGTATGTCTGGCCGGCCTTGAGCTCTTTGCTGCCGATCTCTTCGATGGTGGCAGTGCCGAAGAAGGCGGAGCCTTGCTTCTGGTTCTTGGTGTTGTCGACGACCACTTCGCCGTCGATGAGGAGTTGGCCTGTGCCGACGACTGTCACGCCGAAGTCGTAGACTCCGCTCTCCTCGGGAGTGAATGATCCCTCCATATCGACGTAGTAGGTCATAGACTTGATCTTAGGGTTGACGTAGTCCATCAGGAATCCGGAGGACTCAAGCAGATGCAACTCGTCCACGACCTGTCGGTCCGCACCAGAGCTGGGGTGCTCATTGTAGACCTTGAATGTGAAGCCAGGCTTGCCATCTGCGGTCTTCAGCAGCGGACCCAAAAGCGGCAGCTCCTTGTGGGAGTACACGCCCTGGCTGTATTTGACCTCTCCGTTGGTCTTGGCAGAGACACCATCGAACGGAGTGACAGTGTAGTATGGGGCCAGAGAGGCCGAGCCACCACCACAGTAAGCAGCAATCTTAGCGTTGGGTCCAATGACCAGCAGAGACCCATCCTTCTTAAGGGGAAGAATATCATCCTCGTTCTTCATGAGCACGACAGACTCGGCAGCAGCACGGCGCATCAGAGCCTGGTCTTCTGGCCGGTTGAGGGCCTTCTCAGGTGCTCCCTCGGGGATGCCCAGGGGCTCAACCCAGTTCACCAGGTTGAGGATGTTGCGCACGCGCTCATCGAGCTGGTACTGAGCCACCTTGTTTGACGAGACGGCGTGTGCAAGAGTCTCACCACGCCAGCGGGTCTTACCGGGCATCTCGATGTCGAGGCCGGCGATGATGGCATCGGAGGTACTGTAGGTACCAAACCTAATGAAAATCAACCGTTAGCTTCCGAATAAATAAAAAGAGTTAACATAATGAAATATCACAGATACTCACCAATCACTCATAATAAGACCCTCCCAACCCCACTCCTTGCGCAAGATATCATCAATAATAGCCTTGTTCTCGCTAACATGAGTTCCATTAACCTTATTATAAGCGGTCATGATGCACTGCGAGCGACAAATGCGCATAGCCAACTGGAACGGCATCAGGTAAATCTCACGCAAAGCACGGTTAGTAAGAATGCTGCTAACAGCCAAGCGCTCATGCTCCTGGTCATTGCAGACAAAGTGCTTAAGTGTAGCAGCAACACCCTTCTCCTGCATTGCCTTGCAGAAGTGGCCGGCCAGCGTACCGGAGAGCACACCATCCTCCGAGAAGGACTCGAAGCCACGGCCGCCTAGCGGCGAACGCTGGGTGTTGATCGTTGGGCCCAACACGATGTGCGTGCCTTTTGCGATCGCCTCGTCACCCATCAATGCACCGACCTCTGCTAGCAGCTCGGTATCCCAGGTTGCGCCGAGAGCTGTTGCGCAAGGGAAGCATGCTGCCGGGATACCATTGAAGAAACGAGTTCCACGGACGCCATTTGGACCATCGGACATGCGCAGTGCGGGGATGTTTAGGCGTGGGACGGATTCTGTGTGCCAGAAGTCACGACCTGGTAGGATGAGGTTAGTCTCGACTTGATCAATGGCTGGAATTGCATCATTGGCAATGGAAGTTGGATTTACCAGCTGTGAGGGCCACCTTCTCGCCGAGGGTGAGCTCCTCAATGGCTTTCTCGACGTCAATTCGAGCCATAATGTAATGTAGTTCTCTTGTATATTATTTGGGTTTGCTTCTGTTCAATTAACCTAGGAGAATGAAGCTATTGAGAGCTGTTGAACTAACAAAAATAGAGAATACAGTATCTTAAAAAAAAAAAAGAGAAGGACAACCTTTTATAGCCAAAGGAGAGTCAAGCCGTTTCCAATGTATGAAGTGTCAGGTGAAACCTTGGAGCCCGTGTTGGCGGGGAAGCTATCATCCAATGACAATGTCTCTATGAGATACGATGTTAGTCAAACAAATGATATTGAAAGATGTTCAACAAATAATCCACTTGATCTCTCAAAGGGCCACGGAGGAAGTTGCGTGACCGAAGTTTAGCCGGCAGGGTCGGGGCCAAGGAAGTCCGGATGTCGGCCCGCTAAACCGGATATACGCGACATAAGGAAGAAAATAGTATTCCATAAATCCTTGAATATTTCATTTAGAAAAAAAAAGTACATGTGAAGAAGTGAAGTGGTTTGTTCCCAAACACCAGGCAAAATGCGAAAAAAAAAAGAGATAGGAAACAGTCCAGTGTAGGGAAAGGTTGGTAGCAAAGAGATATCAAAAAAAAAGTAAAAGTAAACCATTCCATTCAGGGTATCATGGTGAATGGTGAAGATCATGCTCCTCGACGAGGACGCTTGTTATCATTTCCCATTCTCATCCCACGTCCACCGTCAGTGCCATCGTCAGGACCCTGTCGACCACGCTTACGGTGCCCAGAGCCGCCAGAGCCGCTCCCACCCTCCCGCTGATGATCCCGGTCACGTCGGTCGCCACGGCGCTCACGCTCACGATCCCGATTGTCAGAACGGCTACCCCGGTCGCCAGAATTGAAACGACGCTCGGTTCCTTCCGGCATTGGGGGAGGCGGAGGAGGAGGGGGTGGTGGCGGCGCCTCCATGGAGGATGGGGGTCGCAAACGGCCTTCAGCCTCATGTGGCTCACTGCCACTAGGGGTTGGTCCAGTCATTTCCGACGGTCCATCCGGGCGATCACGTCGGTCTCGACGTCGTAGTTCTTCGCGCGAGCTCTGAACCCGGCGCAGGGTCTCACGAGGCTCACCAGTGCCCTTCTCATCGCGGCTTCCACCGCCTCCTACATCGCTTCGACGGCTGCGTTCGCGGTCATTTCGACGGCCATCGCGTCGATTGCGACCATTGCTGCTGCCATCACGACGCTCGGCCTCCTTCTCGCGAGGCTCCGTTTCACGGCTACGAGGTTGTCCAGAGCGACCCGCCTCGGGAACGATATCATCAATCAGATCGCCACTTCGGCCACCGCTGGGTCTATTGCGGGATAGATCTTCTTGGGGTCCTGCTGGGCCCATGGGTGGCCGGTTTGCAGGCTGAGGCGATGGTGCCTCGACGGTGCTTGGTGGGCGATTGGCGCCTCTTCCGCGAACAGGCGGAGGGTTACCAACCCGGTCACCACCACCACCACCACCAGACTGTTGGAGCATATTGTTGAGGCCTGCAAAACGTTTGTCGCCGCGGCCACGCTCCCCACCAAATCCTTGTCCAGGCGGTCCAGACTGCGCAGAGGGCCCTCGGGGAGGTTGTTGTAGGGTTAATCCGCGAGGGCCCGAGGGAGCAGCAGCGGGGGCTGCAGGCTCATTGACAAGATTCCTGAGGCGATCTGGATGAATCCCCGGGGCAGCACTTGAGCCTGCGGGTTGTGTTGGGGTAGCGGGTGGCTCAGGTGGTCCACGTCCACCTTGTCGGCCAGGGCCTGTGGGTGCCTGGCGTTCCGGAACGGGCAATGTAGCATTACTTGAGCTGAGCACTGGAGGTGCCTGTCCGGGCATGTTACGTCCACGTCTTCCTCGAGGGCCAGCTGGAATCTCAGATG